CCCAAATAGGATAGATCCCAAAAGAAAATCATGAAGACATATCATAGTCAAACTTTTCAAAAGCAAAGACAAGGAAAATGTACTGAGAACTGGCGGGGGCCATGTCATCAAGGAACAGAACGGTGGAGGACCCTACACATGAAAAGCTCATTGTTTTAGCAAAGTGACAATGAGTGTCTCCTTGGTTGGCAAAGCCACAAGGAGAACCTCCTGCAAAGGCCCTGCGGTTCTTGTTTTCCCTTTATGAATGGCTCATTTTTTATTTTTCTTGATTTTATTGTGGAAGTTTTCTAGTAGGCTTTTCTATAATCATATGCTTTTCTATAATAATATTATAGATTAAAAAATTATGTTTAGACACCTTCACACCATATTCAATCATGTGTATTTTTTTACATTAACAATAAGTTTCACCATTAGAAAAAACCACACCAGCTAAAGCATTGCCAATTCAAGTTTAAGATTACAATCAACATTCTGTGTAGTTTCAGTTAGGGACATTAAGACCTCTAGAAAATAGCTAAGACACAATTAAGGGCTGTGGGAACACGTAAGAATGTAAGTAGAAATTTAACTAGATGTTTTTAGATAGAGATATTGTTAGTGTGGGGAATCCGTTCCATTTATTCTTAACTATAAAACTTTAGTTACTATTATGTTCTTGTTTTTATTGTTAAATCAATTATGAGTAACTGATATGTATGACCACTTACGGTAAAAAATAATGTTTTTGTTGTGAATTGTGTTTAATGAATCTTTAGAAAATAATAGGTGAGGGTAGAAATAGGAGTTAAGATTTAGAACTCTGCTTGAAGGTTAACTTGAAATTTTAGGGAGAATTAGAGAAAAACAGAATCACTTACAGAACACAGATGTTAGCAAGGTAGTTAGGAAATACTAGGAAGCAAGATATGAAAAGATCAAAGAAAATATTTTTATGTTCTTTGATGTAACTTGAAGGCTCAGGAATCAAAAGAAAATGTAATCACAAATAGGTTAAAGTTTAAAGGAATTGATTGCTATGAAGTCATTGTGTATTGTAACAGTATATAAGGAGCTGAAAATTTTAAGTAAAAAAGCAACATCTAAGACTCAAAACGACCCATTGACTCCATGTAATTCATTTCGCCGACTCCACATCCCCCTTTGAGAGTCCCCTAATAATTTGTCGAGGCTGGTCCCCGGCAGAGAACAGCTTGGGAAAAATGAAAAATTACCAATAAGACAAAACTCTGATTTTTCAGCAGAAACCATGCAGGCAAGAAGGCAATGGGATGATATATACAAAATTCTGAAGGAAAAAATTACCAACCTAGAATCATATACCCAGCAAAGCTGTCCCTCAAATATGATGGCAAAATCAAGACTTTGCAGATAAACATAAATTAAGGGAATTTGTAATAACCAGACCAACTTTACAAGAAAAAATTATATTAAAAGTGCACACAGTGGAATACTATGCAATGCTGAAGAATATGATGAATGTGTGAAACATCTCACACCATGGATGAATCTGGAGGACATTATACTGAGTAAAATCAGTCAATCACAAAAGGAGAAATATTGTATGAGACCATTGTTATAAAGTTAATTAATCAAGATTAATAAATTACAGATTAATTGTAAAGAGACGGTACTGAATTCATGAATTCAACTACATGAATTCAGCTCAGAAATTTATGTAGACCAAAGAAGCTAGCAATACCACACACACACAAACAAAAAAAAAAAAAAAAAAACCCCACAGGGCAAAATGACAGTAATCAATTCACACTCATCGATAATTACACTGAATGTAAATGGATTAAATGCACCATTCAAGAGACAGAGTGGCAGAATGGATACAAACTTTGGTATGTATACATAATGGAATACTATGCAACACTGAAGAATAATGATGAATCTGCAAAACACTTCACAACATGATTAATCTGGAGGATATTATGCAGACTGAAATTAGTCAATCACAAAAGGACAGATATCGTATAAGACCAGTGTTGTAAAAAGTTAAGAAAAGGTTTTCTTGCTAAAAGAAACATTCTATGATGGTTACCAGGGGTAGGAAAGAAGGGAAAATTGTACACTGGGCAAAGGATGGTGGTGGTGATGGTTATGTGCCATTGGGTCATTTCTGACTCATAGTGACTCTGTATAGGGTTTCTGAGACTGTAAATCTTTATGGTGCAGAAACCCTCATCATTCTCCAAAGGAGTGATTGGTAGATTCAAACTTCTGATGTTATGGTTAGCAACCCAGTTCATAATCCACTATGGGTAGAGGGTAAACACATATCAACTTGGGTGATGGGGAAGGCAATATAAAAGAGAGACATTTTGCAGAGGAAAGATGAAGTTAGGGTGAGACACAGGGAGGAATGCACTAATTAAAGTGAATAAAGGTAAACACTATTAACTGATGGTACCTGAGGGGGAGGGGGTTGCAACCATTGTAATGAAGCAAAGTATATGAGGTATTGAGTGTAAAAATGATGATCTGCTCTTTAAACCTTCACTCAATTCACAATAAAAAAAGTTTGAAACAAAAGGATGCAGACTCCAAAACCCTATACAGGGTCTCTATGAGTTGGAAGAGATTTAATGGCACTTAACAACAACAACATGTATTGCTCTGGGGAAGCCAGAGTTTTTTTGCTTTTGTTTCTTTGCAGGGAACTTGTTTTTTGTTGTTTGCTATTTAATGATGTTGGTTTTTAAGATTTTCCATTTACCCTTGTTATTCTAAAATTTAATAGAAACATATCCAGAAATTTTTAAAATTGAACTTCGTGGACCAGTTTTGTTTCTCCTGCAGTTCTGAAAAGTTTTCCACACAATGTGAGTCTGTTCTATAAGCAGTTGTTCTAGACACTAGGGAAAATGTTGGTGAGCAGGTAAGCCTTGCACAGCCCCTCCTTACTCTATATTCTGTCCCTCAAGGCCCAGTTTCTGTGCCCCCTCATTCAGGAAGCTACCCCAGATTCCTCTACTAGGATGTTCACTCTCCTTTCCCACCTTCTACCCTGGTGGAGGCTCTTTGTCTGTTAGTCACCACTTCCTGGATTATGAAGCCCTCAGAGCAGGAAGTGGATACTCATAGCTGTATTTGCAAACTTTGACCTCCAGGGCCTAGACAGTTCAGGGCAGCCAAGTGGTACTGAATGAATCAATGAGCTGAGGCCTCATGCCTGGCAGTCTCAAAAAATAAGTAGTGGATCATTTATTCCCTATGCTCCCTTTAGGATCCAAAGGTGTCTAATGAGGGCTCCACAGCACAGCACACCAGCAGGAACCCCACTGGAGTCCTGGCTGTCCTGATTCCTGCTGATGAGCCCAAGAGGTCACTTATGCTTAAGTCCCAGTTCCTTTGTCACAGAGTGAGGTGACAATACAATCCTGCCCTCATGAGAGCAAGCTGTTGGCATAAGTCTGGGCTCCAAGCAAGGGGCTCAGCCTTATGTCTATCCAGGTTATTGTGGGAACTGGCCCTACTTGAGTTCTCACCACCTGGCACTCCTACCCACCACCCCAACTTGAAGCCCCACCTGGCCTGGTGTTCCTGGGAGGGTGGGAATGGGTGACCACATAGCCCCTTCACACTTTGAGGGAGTTTGGGGGTGGGAATGGAGAACAAGGATGCCTAAGACCCCACTGGGCAATACTGGGCATCAGGTTAGGAAAACTTAGGAAGAGAGAACCAGAAGAGTGAGGGAGTGGATGAAGCAGAAATCCACATGGTGTCCATGGGAACTGTCCAGGAGACTGACCACAGAGGAAGCCCATGGGACTTCCCTCTGATTGTGGAAGCTCAATCTTTATCAGGAGAGAGATTGGGAGCTCAGTCACAGTGACCCTAGCACAATGACTCTCGAGCTCTAAGCCACTCCTCACTGTGTGCACCAGTAGTAACACAGATCTGCAGGAAATGCACAGAAGGACACCACGCTGGCAAGAGAGAACAGATTTAATGCTGAATCCTTGAGATGTTCTCCATCCTGATGGGTCCTGATGTCTATGCTTAGATACGTCCTTGATACTAAGATCAAAGTGGCTGACCGCCCTCTCTGTGAAAGAGTTGACAGGGAGGGAAGTGGCCTGGGGAGTAAAGATTGCCACCCCCATTTCTTGTCGTGTCTCTGGCTCCTGTTTATGGCTTCCTCTCCTGCCAGCACAGGTTCCTGTCCTCCCAGAGCACAGGTTCCTTGGGCAGGGGGACACAACAAAGACTCTGCTTTGGCTTGACACAAGCTGGGCTGGGCACTAGCTTCTGCCCACTGCACCAGAGAGGCTCCCATACAAGGTCCACATCCTGGATCCTGGAAGGTGGAGGGGAAGGTAATCCCACAATGACCTGTGGTGGGGTTGCTGCTTGAGATGATGTGACTGGGAAGAGAAACTGGCCACTTGGGTCCTGATGCCCTCAACTCTGGGGGACTGATGGGGGCTGGACCCTCCTCCTAAGGAGCCTTGACACCTCCTTGGTTCAAAATGACAAGGAGCGCCAGGACCCACCCACACAGGGCCAAGATCTGGGGCTGAGCCCAGCACCCAGGCAGCTGAGATCCTGGTGTGGGCCACCAACAGGCTGGCGTCGCTGCCAGCCATGGCCACCGCCAGACCCCATCAGTAGTGTGCTCCAAACAGAGTGGCCACCTTCTGGAGGATGGTCTTGTGGTTGGCATACAGCGGGATACACCTGTGCACCACCTGCCATCGGAAGGACATCTCCGGGTTGAAAGTGTGCAGGTGCTGGAAAGACAAGAGAGGCCTAACCCACTGTGCACTGACAATGTCACCCTGACACCTGGCCACCTCACCACCCTGCCACCTCGCTAAAGCTCTGGGCTGAGTCTGGCTCACTGTGCTCTTCCAGAGCACAAGACTGAGAGCACCCACTTCAAGTGTGACTCAACCAACATCTACAAAGCACCCGAGCATTCTTGAAGGTGAAGAGAGAGGCAGGCACAGCCTTGCTCCCAGTGCCCTGCCTGCTCACAGAGCCTGGGCTTTGTTATGGGACTTATCTACCCTAGTTTGGGGCTAAGGATATGGAAGATTGGTCAAGGCAAATAGACGATTGTCTCCTCAAAGGTGTATATAGGGAGGCCTTGCCAGCAACCCAGGCATGAGGCCTTCCCATGATGACTTGGGGTCACAGAGCTGCACAAGACCCTAGGGGTCACCCAGCCCTGACTCAGCTCTGGTTACCTTCCATGCTTTTTGACCTCTCCCTGAGTCTCCTTTCCCAGTGACAAGTGCTAATATACCTTTTGAACAGGACTCTGATCCCCTGCAGCCTCAACTCTGGTCCTGGCCAGCTCAGACCCCTCCCCTGGAAACCCTGAAGCGTCTCAAAAGCAAACTAGAACCCATATCCCCAATTTCCCTCAGAGCTGTGTCCCTGGCCCCATACAGAGTTCAGCCTCTTCAGTTCCATGTCATTTTGGTCCCAGAAGTGGATGCTGATGGCTGCTGTCTCGATCCAGGCATTGTCCGTGTTCCTCGGATCATCCATATAACCTTTGTACACCTGGAAGGTGAAGCCGGGATGAGGTAGTCCACTAGGATGGCCCAGAGCCCCTTCCCCCACCCCACCACAAGGGGTCACAGGTCCGGAGAGTGGTCGTCACGTCCCCTCCACATTCTCATGGTCCCATACCCACATCTGGCTGTCAACCCGGCTACAAGTCCCCCATCACACTGCCCAGTCCAGCCTGCCCAGGCTACCCATGGAGCCTCCTTCTACCAGAATGTCACAGGGATCCTCACTTCTGACTCTTCTGGCACCCTCAGCCATTGGAAACTGAACCCCAGCCTGACTGTCTTCAAAGCACTTCCAGATCTTTTTGAGGGGTGAAGGAGAAATAGAGATGTCCCTGAGGCATCATACAAGCTGAATAGCATGAAATTTCTGAGCTTGCAAAGCAAAACTATCTAATATTAGCAATGTCATGCTTTAGCCTAATACTGTTGTTAAGTGCCATCGAGGCAGTTCCAACTCATAGCAACCCTGTATAGGGTTTCCAAGGAACAGCTGATGGATTTGAACTGCCAATCTTGTGGCTCAAACTGACCTTGCGGTCCAGCGTATTATCCTGCGCACCACACCAGGACTCCTTAGCCTAATATATGACAAGTTAAATTCCACTAGAGGACCATTCAAATGAATCATGGTACAGCCATGTTATAAAACACCATCTAGTCGAGAAAAAGCAGCTCTGGTAGTGTAGTGGTTATGAATCGGGCTGCTAATCTCAAGGTCGGCAGTTCAAAACTACCAGCCATTCCATGGGAGAAAGATGACGCTTTCTGCTCCTGTAAAGATTTACAGCCTTAGAAACTCTGCGCAGGGTCACTATGAGTCAGAATCGACTGCGCGGTACTTAACGACAAGTCGATAAAAAGAATGGGGTATGTTCATAAATACTGACCATAGTTAAGTTGGGTGAAAAAGCAAGTTGTGGAAAAATATGGATGGTATAGTCCGTTTTTGTTAAAAGCATGTGTGCATGTTTGTGAGTGGAAAGAGATGGCACTGAACTCAAAAAGACGTTAACAAAGTGGCCTGGGCAGGGGTGGGTGTCAAGGGACCTGCACTCTTTGCAATTTTCCCATCTCTATTTCTGGACTCATGACAGCAAACATCTATTTATTTTGTAATTAAGAAAGCATTTAGCAACAAGAAAAAGCTGCTGTCTACAGGGAACACCTGCCATCCCCAAGGCCGAGGCTGTGTGGCTCCTCCCAGGCCTGGGGAGATCGGTGGCAGCCCAGGGGAGAGGCGTTGGCACACTCCCCCTACTGGGAGCTGGTTAGTTGCATACCCCTTTAGTGTCATGCAAGAGTAGGTGTTGAATAAAGTACTGACTACCATTCTTGGAGGAGGGATCAGAACATGCAAGCTCCTGTCCACCAGGGGCCTCTCTTCTTGGGCTCACTCACACTCCATGGGACCTACTCACACTTAATCTTGAAGACTCAGAAGGCCCAGCTCAGAGCAGCTGGAACTATAGCCTGTCCCAGGAATGGAGAGGGAGAACGAGCTGCCAAGCCCAGCGTCCTGGTTGCAGCTCTTCCCCAACCTTCAGGAGCTGCAGGATGTGGACTGTGGGACAGGAGTGGGGAGCAGAGATAGCAGGGCCCTACCTCCACCCCCTGTTTCAGCAGACTTTCAAAGGATGGCCAGAACTCTGATCGCAGAATCTGCTTCAGCTTCCAGGGCAGCATCTCCCCTGGTTCCCGAGAGCCCTGAGCAGAAATGTGAAGGCAAGTCAAGTTAGCTGTGTTCAGTTCTGCTCCTCCTACATCATCCCAGTCTGTGTCCACCCTGACCTGCTGTCAAGGCTCTAAGACCTATGTCCACCAGCACTTCCCACCTTGGGCACCCACCCACCTCTGGGAGCCCAAAGTGGCTATCTCAGACAGAAAGAACCTACTGTCCAGGCCAGCAAGGAGACGTGGCTTAAGGGTTGGGGTGGGGTGAGGGTGGGAAGCATGTGTTGCACTGAAGAACTACTCCTGAGCTTGGGACAGTCAACTCTGCCCAATGAAAACGACCCTACTCTCTTGTAGACAAATGACCCAGATGCCTCCTCTCCACACCCGCCTCCAAGGGACAGACTGGTGCTTCTTGTTTTCTTCTCAACTCCCATCTCTGACCCTGGGCTCTTGACCACCTGCCCATGGGGCCCTGCACCACAGCCATCTACAGAACTCCATTTGTTACTCTGAGCCTTCTACATTGTTCATGTTTCTCACGGGCTTCACACTCCCTTCATAATTTGGGCCACTTGGGCCTCCTGAGACTTTTTTGCTCTCACCCTTTCTCCAGTCTCTCTCCCCACTGTATGCACACCATGTGGGACCTGTGCACACTCTTTGTGAAGACCCTGGGGCCTAACCCAGAGCAGACAGGAGGTTAGCTCAGAACGTGCATAAGGAGGAATGAGGTCGACCAGGTCAGGCATCCATGTAGAGAGGCCAGAGTGCAGGGAGTGGGGAAGGGTATGCCCATGGGGAGAGGGGCTGATCTTCAGGGGCCTGGGACCAGAGACTTGGGAAGCCCCTCCCTTGGTTAGGAGGAGGGGTCAGGTCTGTAGACACCCAGTGCTGCCCAGGGCAGATCAATCAACAGATGAATAGACAGATGGCAGTATTTGGGCTTCACCCTAAATCTTGTCTAGCCCAAGCCTAAGCTCACTAACTTGGCCCAGCCCCATGGCACAGGCACCTAGTGTTGGGTAACCACTGTGGCTCTCCAAGGGATTGTGGTAGAGCCCAAAATCTTGAAACAGGGCTGCAGCCCAGATGCAAACTGCTGGGCCATCTGGTCTCCCAGGCCAAAGAGAGCCTATCCTGACTTTTCAGTAGAGATCAGCCTGGTGGGTGGACATGCAGGTGCTGATCTGGGAGCACAGTGTCAGCAGTTCACATAACTTTCAGTAGGAATAGTTGAGCCAGACTCTTCTATAGTCTGTGTTGTTTCCACAAAGCCTCTGGGGCCCTCACTCCAGCCCTCCGACCCCACCTCCATGCCAGGAAACAACCTCCTATCTCTAGGGGTCAGCCCAGGGCCCCATTGGTGGGGAGAGAAAGTGTATGTGCCCTGTACCAGGAACCCCTGGGGAGGGCTGTGTCTCTGCCCCTGAACCTTCTGCCTCCACTGAGAGTGGTATGCAACAGGTGCTCAAAAAAAAAAATCTGTTGCTATTGAGTTGGTTCCAACTCACACCAACTCTACAGGACAAAGTAAAACTGCCCTATAGAGGTTCCAGTGCTGTAATCTTTATAGACTCTTGGTACAGCATTGTAGGATCAACACTGGATTGCAAACCACAAGGTCAGCAGTTCAAACCCAGTTCAAAGCTGCTTCTCAGAAACCCTATACAGGGTCCCTAGGAGTCGGCACTGATTCAGCAGCACTTAACAACAATCTTTATGGAAGCAGAATCCCACATCTTGCTACTGAGGAATGAATGGTAAGTTTGAGCCTCCTACCTTTTGGCTAGCAGTCAAGCACTTAACCATTGTACCACCAGAGCTCCTTTACCAGGTGCTCAGGAAGTACCTAATCACCAATGGGCATGCAAAAAAGGAATTTGGTTTTCTTAGTGTAAAATGAAGAGCCAGAAGGGCACCATCTGCCGTTCCAGCACTGGCTGGGTTCAGAATCCAAGATGAGATCATGAGAGTCTCAGCATTCCCACAGAGTGGGGGCCATTCATTAAGGGGCTCTTCAGTAAGGGATGGAGTGGATAAGGCACCAAACAAAGTGGCCAGGGATGGCGGAGCAGCCAGGCTAGCAGGAACTCACCCCTGGCAGTGCCCAGTGCTCCGACAGTGAGTGTTTCACCACCAGTACCTCCAACACCTGCTTGATGCTCTTCCTGCAGATGGCCCCATCCTGGTTCCGCCGCCACCTGCAAGGCAGAAAGGCTCACCCTTTCCAACACCCCATATATGCACCAGGAGAAATCAGGGCTATGTCCTGCCCCTCACCTCCACCTGTACCCTGCCTTCCCTGAGTGGAAAGGTGTTAGACAGCTGGTTTAACACTTCTTTCTCTTTTCAGGATCAAGGTTCCAGGAAAGGACTGAGATAAAGCCACATAGGCAAGGTTTCTCCTACTTCTCTAAACTGCTGGTTGGACTACAAAGTGTTGCAGCCTTTTTAGAGATCTTTTAAAATCAAAAGTCTGTAAAGAAATGCATGCCCTCTGACCCATTGGCTTACTTCTGTAATGATATGAAAAGGCTGGTGTAAGCCCATAGCATTGTACAGCTGGGGGCAGCAAGTACCTCAGGCAGTCCCCTCAAGGATGGATCATATATCTGCACCTGGCAAGGTGGCAGGAAGAGGGCTCGGGGGGATGAGCTGGTGGCAAGGGAATTGAGGGGGGCTCTAGTAGTGTAGTGGGTGCAAGTTAGGCTGCTAACCTCAAGATCAGCAGTTGGAATCTTCCAGCTGTTCTGTGGGAGAAAGATGAGGCTTTCTGCTCCTATAAAGATTTACAGCCTCAGAAACCCTATACAGAGTCGCTATGATTTGGAACCAACTCCATGGCACACAACCACCACCATCAAATGTATATGGAGGAGTCCTGGTGTGGCATTGTGGGCTATGCACTAGACTGCTAAGTGAAAGGTGTGTAGGTGGATGTGTGGATATGTGAATGGATGTGTGGATGTGTGCATATGTGTATGGGTGTGTGTGTATATATATGTATGTGTATGGGGATGTGTAGATATTTATAAAATACTGTGCATGCATTTGTATGTATGTGTATGCACACGTAGGTTGTATAGATGTTTGTAGATGTGTGCATACATATGTGGGTGGATATATATATACCTGTCCTGGTGTGGCACTGCAGGATAAGCACTCGACCACAGATTGGTTTGAACTGAAAGGTTGGATATTCAAACCCACCGGCTGTTTCTTGGAAACCCTATACAGGGTTGTTAAGAGTCAGAATCGACTCAACAGCAATATATACTTGCATATGTGGGTGTGTAAATGTGTCGATATGTGTGCTCTGTGATGTGTCCATGCATATGTGTGTACATAACATGTGAATATGGATGTGTATATATATGTGGGTATGAATGTGTGTGGATATGGATGTGGATGTGGATGTGCCTCCTGGAACGATACATGATTTTATTTTCTACTTTAATATTTTTTGCTTTTCTGTCATTTTTACCATTGGTCATGCCATGGACATGGATTCCTAGAGTACAGGGTCAGGGACATTCCTACCTAATGTTTCAGGGTTTGTCCATGTTCACCCACAAGCCCACCCCACAAATATGCACCCAAGAGGCTCATCCAGTATAGGAATCATCTTCTCAGCAGCCCCTAGAGGTCTGGGATGAGGTCTGAATGGCAGGGACTCACCGGCTGACCACTGGATGCAGAGCATGGTTGGGTCCGAAATAGCTGAGGCTCCCACGCCCGCGCAATCCTGTCCGGCCCATGGGGTTCCTAGGTGAAGGGTTGACTCAGCCCACTTCCACTGAAGTGGGGACAGGCAAGACAGGGAGGGCAGGCTGGAGGGGATGGTGGGTTCTGAGACTGTGATCAGAGTTGGTTAGTATGATGTGCTTCAAATTCTCCAAACCCAAACTCAGCAGCAAACAAGGAGGACACACTAGGTGAGGGTCCTGGAGAAGAACCCTCTGGGAATCCCCCACAATCAATCTGGCCATGATCCTGTGTCACCACATGGGACCACCACACAACAAATCTCAGAGATGATGAAATTGAAGAATTCTATCAAATTCTTCAGTCTGAAATTGATCAGGCATGGAATCAAGATGCATTGATCATTATTGGCAATTGAAATGCAAAGGTTGGAAACAAACAGGAAGGATCAGTGATTGGAAAATATAGTCTTGGTGATAGAAATGATGCTGGAGATTGCATGATAAAATTCTGCAGGACCAATGAATTTGTCATTGCAAATACCTTTTTTAAACAACATTAAAGATGACTATTTACATGGACCTCACCAAATGGAATACACAGAAATCAAATTGACTACATCTGTGGAAAGGAAAAGCTCCATATCATCAGCCAAAACAAGGCCAGGGCTAGACTGTGGAACAGACCATCAATTGCTTATATGCAAATTCTGACAAAAGCTGAAGAAAATAAACACAAGTTCATGAGAACCAAAATATGACCTAGAAAATATCCTACCTGAATTTAGAGATCATCTGAAAGACAGATTTGATTCATTAGACACTAAAGACTGAAGACCAGATAATCTGTGCATCTTCTTGATGCCATCCCACACAGGAAGGAAGCACACAGGAAGAAAGCAAAAGGTTCATTGAGAAGAGAAGAATAAAGGAAAAAACCAAAATGGATGCCAGAAGAGACTCTGAAACTTGTTCTCCAGCATAGAGATGCTAAAGCATATGGAAGAAGTGAGGAGACAAAAGAGCTGAACAGAAAATTTCAAAGGTCAGCTCGTGAAGACAGAGTCAAATATTATAACAAAACGTGAAAAAACTTGGAGTTAGAAAACCAAAAGGGAAGAACACGCTCAGCATTTCTCATGCTGAGGGAACTGAAGTAAAAATTCAAATCCCAACTTGAAGTATTGAAGGATTCTATATCAACACTCGTGGAAGCAGCATTCAAGAGATCAGATGACGTATTGCATTGGGCAAATCT